CGGACGCTATGACCTCGATGTCCAAGGCACGAGTGATATACGTGAACCAACGTGGACCCCACACAGTGTGTCCCTGGCAATGGACGTTGCACAATATGGGGAGCAATGCGGGTGGTGCAATCGAGGTTGTGCGATCCAGCGTTTGCGCAATCTACGTTGTGCAATCTATGTTGTGCAGTGCACGTGGTGCGGCAACAAGCTCGGTGACCGACAGACAGGCCCAGACGACGGCCGGCAACGAGGCGGCGACGGGGCGGCGACGGCGGCAACAAGCGCGGCGACCGACATATTGGCCCAGACGACGGGAGGCGACGAGAAGGAGACGCCGTCCCGGGCGGCAACAAGCGCGGCGACCGACAGACTGGCCCAGACGACGGGCGGCGACGAGGCGGCGAGGGGGCGGTAAGGCGGCAAGATAGCTGCCAGACCGACAGACAGGCCCAGACGACGGGTGGCGACGAGGCGGCGACAGGGCGGCGACGGCGCGAACATAGCCGCTAGACCAGCAGACAGGCCCAGCTCCTCAGCAACAAGTAAAAACACCTGAGGGCAAGCACCGCTGGATTCATCCATGTATGCGTGCCCACGTGTGTATGTATGTGCACGTCGCACATTCGTACACGTGTACATGTACCCACGCGTACTGGGGGTTCCAGAGAGTGCTCAGCCCTCGAGGGATCGAGCCATGCACCCCTTTTCGGCGAGCGGCAGCAGGAGGCTGGCGGAAGCTTGCCGGTGGGAGAATTGGGGTGTCTTCCGCCGGCGCAAGGCCGGTTGAGGCCAGCAGAAGTCTAAGCTGTCTCTCCAGGAGATGCGCATTTTTTCGGATCCAGTGTGTTTGGCAAGAGTCACAGTACGAATTACAGCTGAATGAATTCCATGGGGCTCCCTATTCATCGAAAGATGACTTGCCAGAACCGCAGTCCCAGCGGGGAAGCGAGGTCCCGAGCGTCCCAGATGAGCCCACGACGGCCCCAGATAGCCCCAAGACGGCCCGAGAGGCCCTAAGAAAGCTCCCAGGAGGGCCCGAAGAGTTTTCCAACACGACCAAGTCGCGCCAAAGATGGCCCAAGGTGGGCCCAAGGCCGGTAAACGGCCTAACGAGCTCCCAAGACGGCCTAAGGTACCCCCGCGAGGATTCGGAAGAAGTCCCCAGAAGGCAAGTTTTATATCTTTGATGTACCTTCTCTTACGGTTGCAGCATGCTCGAATTTTGGTCGGGCCCCCAGGATCGCTCCAAGAAGGCCCTGAATAGGTCCACGAGGTCTCCAATTAAGTTCCAGGACGGCCGAAGAAGGCCCCAAGACGCTCCAAGGAGGGCCCCCTGAGGGGCTCCCCTCGAGAGCTCCTAGACAGCCAACCGGGCCCCCCAGAGTGCCCCCCCGAAGCAGCTCCAAGAGAACCCGACGACGGCTGCGAGGGCCCGAGACAGCCCCACAGGGACCCAGGACGGTGCAGCAGGGACACAACCGCGGCATGCCGCAGCGCAGCGGAAAAAACAGCAGCAGCAACCGAGCACGCCCGGCCCCCCTGCGGGCCGCCTCGGCCGCCCGAGACCGCCCACACGGAGTCGATCCAGGAAGACGGACCTGCCAGGATGGACCCCAGGTGGCTCCAGGGCGGCCACGAGGCTGCTCTGGGGCCTCTTGCTCCTTAACCCCATACTACTTTTCTCGGCCTTCGGCCGAGGGCGTCTGGGCCTTTCGGCAGCCTGTCGCCATCGACCACAGCCAGGATGGACCCCGGGATTTGGGGACAGGGCCCCCCTGGAGATCCTGGCGTCGCAGTTTGCTCGCAACGGGCGCTCTTGCCTGGTCTCGTGGTTTTTTGGCCCGGTGGCCCTCGAGGATCGATCTGGCTGGGAGCATGCAGGATAAGGGTGTTGCAGATTCATCGTGACGTCGGATCTCAGGGAAAAGGGAGGGTAACTACCGCATGGCTGGTAAGGGAGCTCTCCTCGAGGAGGAGAGTCGGCGGCGCGCCGAGAGGGGCAGTGCGAGGGGGCAGGCCCTGCTCAAGAGGTCGACGGAGGCTTCGGAGGAGGCTTCGGAAGCTTGGTCGGAAGGCCGGAGGCCCTCCGAGCCTTCGGAGAGGGCCCGCCGCCCCCTCTGCCTTCCCCCGGAGCGCGCCGCCGAAAGAGCACTTGCCCAGGACCGCTCGCCCAGGACAGCGTTTCATCCTCATCCGGAGCAGTTCTTGCTGACGGTCCCGGAGCCCGGGGAGGGCCCCCGGAGGCCGAAGAGCGTCAACAAAAACAACAATGCGCCGTGTGTCTTGGCGCCGCAAGGGAAGGGTGTCCGGCAAGCCTGGAACGCGCCCTCTTCTCTCTCTGGATGGGGTAGCTATCACAGGGGGCAGGGGGGGTTGACCTTCCGACGGAGCTGGCCCATCCCCCCCCTCCTCCCTCCTCCCTCCTCCTCCTCCTCCTCCTCCTCCTCCTCCTCCTCCTCCTCCTTCTCCAACCCCCCCTTCCGGCCGTTCTGACAGCACGTGCCTAGCCCCCCCCGCGGAACCAAGGGGGGGGGGGCGATGATTACCACATCCAGAGTTCGAGTAGGGGATCGACTACAGAATGAATGAACCCCAAAGTTTAAGTGTCCGCCGAGTCTGCGTGGAATGCTCCGTAGATCTGGGGAGCATTCTTCGTACACCGTCCGTAGATATCGACGGAACAGCTCAGTCAGGGTAAATCGGTTATGCAGTCGACCCCCTACTTGAAGAGTAAGAGTTCCCCCTCCCCACCTACGGTCGGCGGACGAAATCTATACATATCCACTGCTCCCTGGCCAGGCCCATCCTGAACCCAGGAGCTGTGTATACGCCCTCCTGGCCAAACCAGGAGGGCGTGGCGTATACACAGCTGCTGTGTTCAGGATGGGCCTGGCCAGGGAGCAGTGGATTTGTATAGATTGCGTCGGCCTATACGGGAGGGGGCCATCGGCGACCCGCCCGCTGGTGCCGTGGCCCAATCAGGTACCAGATCGTCGGCCGTGCGGCGCCCACGCCGAAGAACCCCACGCCGAAGATCTACAGGACTCTCGGGCCGGACTCGCGCAGGAGGAGGAGGGGGAGGAGGAGGAGGAGGAGGGGGAGGAGGAGGAGGAGGAGGAGGAGGAGGAGGAGGAGGAGGAGGAGGAGGAGGAGGAGGAGGAGGAGGACGAGGTGGATAATCTCGGCTGGGGCGCACAATCACATACTGGTGCTGTGTGCTCTGATTCGAGGCGTGCGTCCGACCCGAGTCGGAGTCGATTTGCCCTCGCATCGGTTTTCCCGCCGAATCGAAGAAACATCCGTAGAGGGCTCGTCGATTTCGCGCATGTTTCATGGGCCCGGCGAGGAAATCAGTCTTGGGGTAGATCGACCCTGTAGTCGATCCCCTACTCGACGGACGGATCTACGTGGGCCTCCCAGATGAGGTCTGATCGGATGGTTTCGGAGGATCGCGCCGCGTCAGCGATGCGGCTTGATGCGGAGCCCGACTGTCTCCGCGCCGACGTCGCCGGTGCATCGCCGAAGTCCCCAACGCATCACCGATGCATCGCCGATGCATCGGCGATGCGGCGCGATCCTCCGACCCCATCTATTCTGAACCCATCTGGGAGGCCCCCATTGGAAGGGGGGGATCGAGGCATCGTGGAGACGGTGGGGGGACCCTAATATCCTCTCGTGGCAAAATGAAGTCCGACAGAGCTTTTTTTGGGGAGGGGGTCAGTTTTGGGCATCCAGGCCCTTGCCAGGCCCAAGGACCATCAGGAAACGACTGAGGCTGAAAAGCCGGACCTGGGGAATGGGTCGAGATTTCGGGAGGTCCACGTTGTGAAAAAGAATCAAGGGTAACGTTTGGGGGGGCTCATGCTCAGGGGGGGATCGAGATCCGATATCATGGTTTTCGTGGACTTTTGCAGGTTCTTGGCGGTTTCCAGCTTCGGGCTGCGTCCCAGCGGCTGCGCCTCGCCGAGAGCATTTCGGAGGTGCCTGGATCGTCCCGAAGGGCCGCCGGGGTGCGGAGTTATGTCCCGAAAGCCAAGGGCCAACGTCATGGGGGGATAGGCTCAGGGGGAGAAGCATCGACCCCCCAATCGCCCATTGATCGCTGACAGGGGTCCGATGGCCCACCCCCGCGCAGGAACATGCAGATTCGTTACCGCGGGCCTATCGCCGAGTTGTCGGCGGTGCATGGCCGATTCCAGGTCGGTGTTTCCCTCCCTAAGCTGGTCCCCCCAGAACGTCGCCCTTCAGACATGGGGGGACAGGGAAAGGGTGGCTTACAGTCGGGGCCCTGAAGAAGGAACCCTTTTGGTTGGAGAGGGGCTCCGCGTTCCTGAAGTGTTTCACAGCTTGCCTTAGGTTGTCCTTATGTTTTCGATAGGAAATCGAAGTTTAACTTATGGAGAAAAGGGGCCTCGTTCCTTATGTAGGGTTCCTTAGGTCAACGCCCCGACTGTACCCCAGCTGCTGCACGCAGCTGGTGTTGGCCCTGCCGCCGGGCGCCTTCCCTCGACACACGCGGCGGCGCGTGGGGCAAGACTGGCTGCGCGAGCTGACTCGCTCGCGCCTCCCTCGCTGCCCCCCCTCGCGTCCGCCCCAGCTCACGAAGGATGCGCATGTTTGCGAAGAACAAGGTGCTCGCCAAGTCGCGTTTCTGGTACTTCATGAAGAAGCTCAACAAGGCCAAGAAGAGCGGTGGCGAGCTGCTCGCGGTGAACGAGCTCTTCGACCGCGGCCCCACCAAGGTGAAGAACTACGGCGTCTGGCTGCGCTACGAGAGCCGCACGGACACGCACAACATGTACAAGGAGTTCCGCGACATCACCATCAACGGCGCCATCAGCCAGCTGTACCAGGAGATGGCCGGCCGCCACCGCGCCCAGGCCGGTTCCATCCAGATCATCCACGCCACGGCCATCCCCGCCAGCGCCTGCAGGCGCGATCACGTCACGGAGATGCACGACTCGGGCCTGAAGTACCCCGTCATCACGAAGTTGCCGCTGGTGGCCAAGAGGCTGCGCACCACCTACAAGGCCAGCCGGCCGATGACCTTCGTCCGCTGAGCAGTGGCCTGAGCTGTGGCCCGTCCCGCGAGGGACTCCGAGCCAAAGGGTCGTCTTCCTCCCCATGCCCCTCTTGCGTACGCTCGTCTCCTCCCTCCCACTCTCCCTCCTCCTCCTCCTCCTCCTCTTCCTTCTCCTCCTCCTTGTCCTCCTCCCTCTCCTCCCTATTCATCCTCCTCCTTCTCTCGCCTCCTCCTCCTCTCGTTTCCTCCTCGTCCTATTTCTCCTCCTCCTCCTTTTCCTCCTCCTCCTCTGCCTCCCTCCTCCTCCTCTGCCTCCAGCCTCCTCCTCCTCTTTCTTTCGCGTCATCCTGCCAGGGACGGGGGCAGCTGGGGGGGGGTGCCTGGGGTCGATGATCCCCCGGACGCAAGGTAGCCCAACGTGTTTCCGACGTTCAGCTCCCCGTGTAGCACGCGGCCTGCGTCGGCCCTCGTTGCGCCGCCGGCGTCGTGCGGAAGGGCTTCGGCGCACTCGCAAGTCGGCGCTGACACGCGCTCTGAGGACCATCGACGGGAGGGATGTGGGGTAGGGCGGAGGACTGGAGGAGGGGCAATCGGGGAAGAGAGGGATGGGGGTGGATGGGCGAGGCGAGGGAACTTGCGGGAAAGGGCGAGGCGAGGCGAGGGATGGGCGAGGCGAGGGAACTTGCGGAACTTGCGAGGAGGCGAGGCGAGGCGAGAGGCATGGAGGGAGGGAGGGCGAGGCGAGGGAGCTTGCGGGGAAGGGCGTGTGGGGCAGGCAGGGGCGGGAGGGGCCGGGGGAGCTGGGAGGGGCCATCGGAGCGGGGGGAAGGGAGAAAAAGGGCGGGGGCGGAAAGCGGGACGGGGGTAAAGAGGGCTCGGGAGGAGGGGATCAATGTTGGTGGGCCGAGATTCGAGGGCGGGGATGTCACAGTGCACTGGGTGAGGAGGGGGAGCTCTCCTCCCTCTCTCCTTCTCTCTCTCCTCCCTGCTCCCTCCCCCTCTGGAGAACGGGGGACTGTGGAGTCACACATTCTGCCGTGGGCGCGCGCGCGTGCGTCCTACTGTGCGTTTGCGGCAGTCTGCGCGCCCTCCTCTTCCTCTTCCGCCCATCCCTGTCGTCCTGCTGGTGCTGGTGCTGCTGTTCCTGCTCTTCCTTGCCCTTCGTCTCTGTTTCGCTCCCCCCGCACCTCCCTCACAAACAGAACGGGCGGGGGACGTTTTTCGTCTCGGGGGGGACATCCCCCCTCCAGAAGGGGCGGGGTGGCGTCGGTCGCCTTTTTGGTTGTTGTGCTGTGCTGTGTTGTGTTGTGTTATGTTATGCTGTGCTGTGCTGTGCTGTGCTGTGTCGTGTCGTGTTGTGTTGTGTGTGTGTGTGTGTATGGGGGGGGCACGTGCGAACATTCCCCACACAAAGGACATCAAGCTGTACATCCTCCTCCCCTGAACGCCCTCCACTCCACTCCTGTGGCATGTTGTGTGCCAATTGGCTGTGCCACAAGCCACCTTCAGACCGTGAAGATTTTTGCCAAGAGAATCAAGGTAGCCATGTTTTGTGGCATTGATGGTTCTGATGATGAGGATGAAAGATATAAGGTGGAGTAACACGAGAAAAAGAAGAAGAAGGATGCTGACTGTCAGAATTTGCTCGACCCCGTGTGGCTCCATAATCTCCTGGTGTCCCTCTCCCCCCCTAATACTTTCTACCTCCTCTCTCTTCTCCCCCACCCTCGTCACACTCTTCTCCCTCCTCGGTCCTTCCTCGGTCCCCCTCCTCGGTCCCCCTCCTCGGTCCTTCCTCTCCTCTCTCCTCATCTCCTTCCTCGGGCCCCCTCCTCGGTCCTTCCTCGGGCCCCTCCATCCGCTTGGTCCCCCTCCTCGGTCCTTCCTCTCCCCTCTCCTCATCTCCTTCCTCCCTCCCCCCTCCTCCTCCTTCTCCTCCTTCTCCTTCTCCTACTCCTCGCACTTCCCCTCCTCCTCCTCTTCCTCCTCCTCCTCCTCCTCCTCATCCTCCTTCTCCTTCTCCTCCTCCTCCTCCTCCTCCTACTCGTTCTTCTTCTTCTCCTCCTCCTCCTCCTCCTCCTCCTCCATTCTTTCTCCTTATAGTCAGCTCCTCCCTGTCGCACCCCGAGGCCAGTTTTTAGGGCGGGCCGGGCGTTTCGCCTGAGATCTCCTCACCATTTATGATTCTGAAGCTTAAAAAGTGACAACAGTTTCACACATGGAGGGCGGGTGGGTTTCAACATGTGACTCTCGCCTTAGCGCCGCGCACATCCGTTTTAGAGCATTGCACGAGTTTCACGGATTCAGGGCGGGTGGTTTTCAACATGTGGTTCTCGCCTTAGCGCCGCGCATATTCGTTAAACAAATGCAAGAGCTTCACGGATTCCCATGGTCAACGTACCAGAAAATTGTGTTCTGGAAGGATTCAGGACGATGCGGGTGCAACGGTTATGTTGGTTCGTGGTGTTGAAAGCCAAAAGATTTGTGTTATGGCACGATTCCGGATCGCCAAAACGCAGCAGTCAGGTTGATACATGGCGTTGAAGTCCCGAGAATAATGTTTTGGCATGCCTCAGGATCTTCAAACGGTCGTCTTCCAACGATGCAGTTCCCTCAATGGAAATGAACCGTTGTAGGGGCCTATGAAGAGGGAACTTTGAGGGAGGGTTAATTCCAACATCGTTGATGACTCTTGGGTTTACACTGGTCCTCCTCCTCCTCCTCGCGTTCTCCCCCCCTCCCCCACCCAGGGCACGCGCGAGGGTGGGTGGGTGGGGGGGCTGGGGGCTCGGAGCAGCGGCAAGGTGGCCGAGCCGGCCAGGAGCGGGCGGGAGCTAGCCCAAGGGGGCGGGCTTCAGCGGCGAAGGCCCCTCTGGAGCTCCCCGGGGGTCCTGCATTCGGGGGTTGATCGTCCTCCTACCCTGACACGTCGATGAAGGAATTGGCCATTCTCGGTTCGCGAGAGGGCGTCGCGGCCGTCATGTTTGCGGGTCCAGGCCCGTCGGTTGTGGTCCCAGGCCGTTTTGACGAAGGGGTGGTCTGCGAAAGGGAGGCTTGCCCACCGCCGATGTGTGCCGGATGGGAGGATGATGATGATGATGAGGAGGAGGAGGAGAAGGAATGGGAGGAGGAGGAGGAGGAGGAGGAGGAGGCGAGCTGTGCAGATCCCTTCCGCTCCCGTCGGGGAGCAGCCTGCTCCAGCACAGAGCACCCCCACGTGGTGGCGGCAGAGGTGAGGAGGCGTGTCGAGGAACAGGAGGAGGAGGGAGGGAGGGAGGGAGGGAGGGAGGGAGGGAGGGAGGGAGGCCGAGAGCACGGCAGCCTGTGGTTTCAGCACCATGTGTGCGAGCGATCGTGGCCGCCCGGCCCACACATTTGGGCTACTCCAGATTTCGTGATAAAGGGAGGGGCGTCTCATTTCGGGGGGGGTCTCTTCCAGGCTATCTTGGAGGGCCTGGGGGGGTCTGGGGACGATGTTTTGGAGGGTTCTCCCACGGGGGGGGTCTAAAACTTCTCGTCTGGGAGGGTTTAGAGACCCCCTCCCTTTTATCACGACATCTGGAGTACGTTGCTCGAATTTCTTGCTGCTGGTCAAGGCAAAAGTAGGTGGGAATATCCTGACATTTGGGCAGCATCGAGGCGAGAGCGCCATTGCTGAAGACCTCGTGAGGCGAATCTTGGCGACGCGGCTGCCAGACCCGGGCGACCTCGCGGGGGGCAGTCCCCGGCTCCCCGTCCCCCCCCTGTGAGGCTCGTCGGTGGTCCTGTCTGACCCCTCCAGAGGAACGCTATCGGGGGAGGAGGAGGAGGAGGAGGAGGAGGAGGAGGAGGAGGAGGAGGAGGAGGAGGAGGAGGAGGAGGAAGAGGAGGAGGAGGAGGAGGAGAGGAGGGAGAGGAGGAGGAGGAGGAGGAGAGGAGGAGGAGGAGGTCTCCTCCTCCTCCTCCTCCTCCTCCTCCTCCAGGGAAAACTGCGTAAACGTCCTTTCTCGGAGGGCCGTGCAGATTTCTGAGATCGGCGCTGGGCACCCCCTGGCGGCGCCTCTGGCGCCGATCCGAAGTCCGCGCAGACCTCAGAACTCCACTTGATGCAGTTTTTGTGATGATCGCTTCGTCCCCCCCCCAGATTTTTTCGCGTCGCGACAAAAGATCACGACGTGAGGTTTCCGGCAATGTTCTGCCTTTGCGAGGGCCCCGGGACTGTCGACAAAGCTACTCAGGATGAAAAGCCCCGTCGCTGGGAAGGTCGGGACGTCCCGTTGCTCGCGCTGCGAGAAAGTCAAGAGACGTCAGGGCTTTGGGTTCACAGATCCACCTCGGTACTTCCCCTCCCCTCCCCCAGGGACGAGGAAGAGCCATCGGAGGAGGAGTGGGGAGGGAGGAGGAAGGAGGTGGATCTGTTTCATTGTGGGCCTCCCAGCCTGTCGCCGGCTGGAGGCCCCCGTTTCCCCTCGCTGGGAGGCCCCGTGCAGGGCCGCCGGAGGGCTGCCCTCGGAGGAGGCCTCCGCCCCGGGGCGCGCGCTGGCGTCCCCGGAGGTTCCCTGGAGCCCACCGGGTCCCCACGGAGGCTCCGTGGAAGCACAGCTCCGCGTGGCTCGCCGCAGAAAGGGCCTCGCCTTCGAGGGACCGGCGGGGTTGACGCCTCTGCCTCGGCGACGGGCGGCGGGAGCAAGACGAGGGCGGGCCCGCCGCGGGTTTCCGGAGCCCGCCACGGGTCGTCCTAGTGCCAGCAGCGCGTGGCAGTTCGAGGTCTCCCTCTCTGGCCCCTCTCGGAGGCCTCTTCGATGCCTCTGGGGCCTCCTTCGAAGGCCTCGCGGTCCCTCCCGGGGGCTCTCTCGGGAGCCTCTCTGGGCCGCGTTGCACGCTCTTCGGACCGTACAGTCGGGGCGCCGAAGAAGGAACCCTTTTCGTTGGGGAGGGGCTCGGTGTTCCTCAATTGTTCCACACCTTGCCCAAGGTTTCCCGTAAGTTTTCGACGGGAAGCCGAAG